GTGATATTAGCGTTGTAAGACAACTTAAAAAAGAAGGAGGAAGAAGTTTCAAACATTCTTTACAGATAAAATTAAAATCGTATGTGTGCAATGTGGCTACAAGAAACGATCACAATATCTTTACACGTGGTAGGAGAGTGATGCCAAAGAGTTTGGTACTTGATAAAGTATTACATCAGGTGTTGGGGAAAACTTCCAAACTGCAAGAAAAGCTGTAGAAAAGCTTGATAGTAGTTGGTCAGTAAAAAAAAGGCAAATGATGACCGCTATAATTATAGCACCGGTGAGCATTCAATAACGTCACACTTAAAAAAAAAATCAGGGCTTTAAGTCCGAGAGCGAACTTGCCGTGTAGAGGAGCGATGGACGTTAAATCTGTCGAGAGCTCAACTGTCCTCCGGTTGGTGTCCCGTTAGGAGAGGGGTGCCAGCTAAGGTGTCGTCTTCGTCACTTAACCATGGTTAAAAATTACGAGGTCCGTCGCCAAAAGCTCTCGTGTAGCTACGTTAATATTCATTCACTCACCCGAAAGCGAATCAAAGTCAAGCTGGGCCGGCCGTAACAAAACTTAGGTTACATAGTATATCGAGAATTTCAAGTAGTATTGTAATTTAGAAGCAAATTTTTATTTGATTTTAATATATAAAATATTGCTTGTCTCTTTTATAAACTTCAATAGTAATTTATTTAAACTTTCTGAATTTTCTTTGCAAAATGTTGACTAGGTATAGATACATACAGAATATTATTGAGCTTTATAGTATAAGAAATTTTAGTATAAATCGTACATTTATAGAACGGTTTCATTTTAAATAGGCTTGAAGAGAATGTAGTATCAGATTTGCATGTTGAAATCTACTTTTGCTCAAGATACGTTAGCATATTTTGAAGCATTGTATTTAGTTTATATTAGCATGTAATACTTTTGGTGAAAATTGTTTAAGAGTAACTATTTTTTTTTTTACTCCTAATCATGCTAAAATAAAAATGTCCTTTGATTTTTGTAACACAATTGCTTTTGTGCCTCTGGTTCGTTGTTTCGTATATTACCGAACTGCATAATACGGCTTCTAAGAAAGTATTAGCCATGCTATCTAGATATTACGCATAATTTTATTGATTACTTGCAATAAAAATAAATTATTCCAATAAAATATTTAGCTCAAAATTTAAAAAGGAAATATAGGTTTTTTTACTGGTTTTAAAACTAGTTTTGTATTTTGATTATTTGTCTTTATAGTTCGTAATAAATGGATAATTCTGTAAGCAGTGAATATATTTTATTTATATTACTTCAAACAGCTCTAAAGAATTTTCAAGCAATTAAAAAACTTTTATATTTTTATAGAACTTTTTTTCTTTCTTTTTATTATATAACACAAAAAACAAAAACAAAAAATGAAAATTACATTTATAAATCTCTTCTAGTTTTTTAAGTCTTTTAGGAATTTATTTATTATATAAAACCATATAACACAGTCATATATGTTAGACAACAAAATCTGGTATTCTAGAAAACTAAACAACTGATAAATAGCTTGTGAAATAAGTAATAATCACTCTAAATATCCTAAATCGGTAAGCTCAACACATAGCAATAACCACTCGTTATAGGCAGATAAAATACTATCAGAAAATAACACACCAGTTTTACTTACTGGAACACTATTCTTAAAAAAACTATAAATGGAAGCTTCCACAGCGTTCTTGAAATAAATCATCTTTTTTATCTTCAAAAAATGCATTTTATCTTTTAACCAATTGTTAAATAATGTTATAAGCAAAATCAGTAGCCATCGAACACAAAACACACAGACTTCCAAAAATCCTATAGACTTGTTTTATTTAAAACAGAATTCTAAGCATAATATTTATTTTTTTTGCCAGACGATCAAAATGGGAAAATAATATAATTAATTCAGTTTTAATAAATATCACCTGCATCGTAAATTTATTATAAACTATATGAATTACGATATCGTCTGCAAATAAAACTAACTATTGCGAATCATATAAATTACAGTATCGATTGCAACATAAAATAAATATAATTATAAATTGCAAAAATTACAATATTAACTGAAACATAAAATTAATATGGTGGACATTATACCTTCTGCATGCTATTACCATTAAGATGGCCCTGCACAATAACTTTTTAAATAAAGCGTATACATCAGCGCTTTAAATAAATATTTACTTAAATATCCTTTCTATTTATCAATGATATGAACTAAAACTAAAAATATAACATTTTGTATAGTACTAATGCGACTTATAATAATACATTTTTTGAAAATTGTATACAATACTTAATTTAATTGTAATACTGTCTCTTATTCGAAAGTGTTTAAAGGAATTATTTGATCATTTGATATCTCCAAGGTTCTATTATATTATGAAAATTAAGGTTATGTATTTATTATATCCCCCCCCCCTTCTCTCACTGTTGTGAATTTTCAAAAGGAAACAAATACATTATTTTGTTTCCAGAAAATTGGATGATATTGTCTTAAATTAAATTTCTCCTTTAAACATGTTGGAAACTTTTTTTGATACCAATGAAAAGTTTTTAAGAAGAGTAATTAACAAAAAAAGAATTATTTGAAAATATAATGATATTTTGTAACAAACACTAATTTATATCATTAAAATAAACTACTATGACAATGCCTCAATATCTTACAAAGGATTTTGACCTGTATGTAATGTTTCTCATATGGATATATATGCATAATCACTTTAATTTTTTGCATCATTTCACTGAAGTTCATGCAAATGTAAAATACACACAGCAGGATTGATATATTTATTTTTATGCTTTTTAAAACTTTGAAATATGTTTTGGAAATTATAGATAATTCAGCTAACTTCATATACTACAGTAACATCTATGAGACAATATTTAAACTTTTCAAAAAGCACTTTTAAAAATTTGAATCTTGTGGCAGATTCATAGAAAAAACGTTTAAGAAAACAGTTTCCTTGAAAAATTTTACTTTGAAAGAATAATAAAACAAAATGTCAAAAAAAAAATGTAAATATTATTATTTATTATTTATATGTTTTAAAGAGTATCGTAGAATGTAAAAGCATACTGAACCAATTTAATAATAATAATAATAGAAAACAGGTTTGTAAAACATTTCCACAAAGTAATAAGATCGTAGAACATAATTCCAAGAGCAGTATGTTATTGCAATTTTGTGAGAAAATTACACCTATATACAGCCTTAAAGTTTGCTCCGGTGGCTCTTTTTCCTATCCTAGGCCCATATATATAATCATATAATCATTAATAATTTATGTTCGCTAAGTTTTTATTATTTTAAAATAAGTTTCGTGCAGAAATTTGGTGTGCACTTTTTTTGAAATAAATTCAGTAAATAAAGTTTTATTTTATAGATAATAATTAATATATGAATTACTTACTTATGGGTATATTAATTACTTTATAAACTTAAGGTATCTAAGTCTTAATCCAGCCCTGTTTCAAAATATGTTTGCTTTTCTATTGCATATTAGCTAATATCCCCTATTTTCTTCGATGTACTGTGGTATTTTGGTCTATTTTGTTGCACATAGCTCTGACTGGTTCTCACCAATAATACCAATAAATTATTTCAAATAGAAGATCTATCATAGTATCTAACAAACCAAGAAATTTTAATTTTTTTGTAAATGTTACTAATAAACTTGCATGTACCATATAATTTGATCTCTGCGAAATATTTAAAAAAATGTTATGGCTAAAACGAAATCTTTAAAGACGTTGCTTTATTTTAATTGATAAAACTAATAATCGTAAGAAGTTCATTTGTGTTTATAAAAGATATTATAATTTGGCGCGTTCGACTTAAGAATTTCGAATTCTAGAAACTAAAATCATGCCTTTAATTTTTATTTATCTCTATGTATATTTTTAAATATATATAAACAAATAAAAAAGAAGAAGAAAAAACTGAATAGAAAAATATAAGAATATCAAAATAATAAGACAAAATTGAAGGAAGAAAATAAGAGAAATGGTTCAAAAAGTCAAAATGCAATGGACCAAAAAGTAGATTTAAACTATGTGTCTGATACTAACCCCCCCCCCCTCAACTTGATAAATTAACATGGAGTTATACAAAAAAAAGTACAACAAAAATAATACATAATTAAATAAATGAGAATTTAACCATCTACAGATTTGAAAAATATCAAAATATTGTATATGTAACTGTGCATAAAAGTAATACTTACAAAAAAATTCAAAGAATTGAGAGCAAATTCATACTACATTATTCAACAAAAAGAAATTTTCAAACATTGAGTACAGCTTAAATATATAAAAAAAGCAATGCGTCACGAAGAATAAAATAGCAAGTAATTTGCAATCTTCATATTTTATGTCTAACAACTTCCGATTTCCCTAAAGCAGAGCTTTCGGAAAATCCTTCGAAAAGGAGATAACGTTTTTTAAGAATCATGATAAAATTTTTTTAACAGACATATTCATTTAGAAATTATATGATTTTAAAACGTTTACGCGTAAATTGCTTACGCAGAAAGAAAGCTTCAATACAAGTATTGTCATCTATTGATCAATAAAAGAACTAATATTTTAAATATAAACTCTTTAGAAAAAAAAATATGCATTCTTTTTAATTTGTAGGGGTATAAGAATGATTAGCTTGGAATAAATATATATAAAAAAAAAAAAAAAAAAAAACAAGTAAAATAAAAAAATAATTAAGTCAATTCCTACTTCGGTCAATAAAGAAAAATTTTATTTCAGTTACTTTTTATTAAATAATTACCATTAATATAAATATGTATATACACAATATTAATTGGCAAAATAGAAAGCGATTTTCCTTATAATTTTCCATTTTCCTTTCTATATATGGTGTTGGACTATTATATAATTTTATTTGTTACTTTTATTCATTAATTAAATTTAATTATTCCAATAAAATAGTACGGCAAAAAAGAAATCATATTCTCAGAAATTAGGCCATCCCACGGGGGAGTCGAGCCCCCGACCTTTGGATTAGAAGTCCAACGCACTATCCATCGCTCAACAGGGACAAAACGAATAATTTTCCTTTTGCTTTTGGTCTATTATTTTTGTTTGTTTCTATTTATTCATTAATTAAATTTAATTAATGAAAATGAAATTAATTAATGAAAAAACTGTATTAACACATCAAGATCATCCACTACGAGTTTAAAAAATTTATTTGAACTTGAGTGGATGAATAAAAAGCATTTTATTACTGATTGAAAATTTTAACAATATATATAGGGAGAGAGTGTAAACTATTAGTAGCAATTGAAAAATTTATATATAATCTTTTAAGTTGGACCATCGACAAGTTGATTTTTTAAATCTATCTTTCTGCGATTCATTCAAAAGAAGTAAAACATTAAAAAAATCATAATTTACATAAATAATCACTAAATTTTTTATCTGTATATATTTTTTTACAAGTATATTGGATATTCCTGTTCATAATAGTAACAGAAGAATTTGATTATTAATACTGAATTTTTGTATTTGTACAAGGCAAAATTTTTATTGCAAAGTAAATAAAATTAATTTTTTATTCCTATGGGCAAATCTTATTAATTCAAACCCCATTAAACTGGACAGAAATTTATTACATAAGTTCATAACTGATAAACTCAAATAAAATATTTTCTGTACTATATACTTTGCATGTTATGGTTCTACTATATATAGGCAAATTCGTATGTAGATTACTATTACGATAGAGTATTTTAATTATATGGAATTCAAAGGTATCTCCTTTTTCACGAATATTGCTTGATATATAATTCATTACTAATAATCTGTTGATCTAAATCTAGAAATTAAGTTATTTGAGTAATCAATTAATTTTTAATAAAAAAAGGACTCAGAGTAAATTGTAATGTTTCAACATATGTGTAATTATCAGTATATTGACAGAAGAAAACAAGATGAGAAGTATTGATACAATGCTTGTCATTATATATATATATATATAAAATGTGAATAATGGTTAACCAAGCCATTACTAGATAAACCACCAACAAATAAGTCTTTATTTTGCTCATAAAATTTTTATTAAATGCAATGAAACATTATAATTCACATTTATGGAGAATATTAAATTTTTCTAAATGTATTGCATTATTTAAAAAAATTATTTTACTCAAGCAAAGGAATTTGAGTTGTAACATCAATATCTCACTTGTTGAAAAAGACATAAATCAAAACCCTACCCTAAAAAAATTCTTTGTCTTTCAATGAAATTAATTGTATCAAAGCTATTTTTAACAATAGCTGTTTCTTTACGATAATCAGTTGAGTATTCCGTAAACGGATTGCAGAATTATTCCAAATTTGGTAGCATATAAACTACATTCATTTATAACATATTGCGAAATTAAATTGCGAAATGATTCTAAGGAAATTTACACTACATACAATGAAAAACAAGCGGATAAATTCACCGAAAATCATAATTTTATTCAAAATAAAATAAATGGTAATTTGTTTTGTTAATTTTATTCAAAATAAAATTAACAAAATTGTATTATTAGTAAATCCTTAAATTTTCCGTATAAAATTTATTCTAGTGCATGTGTGTGTGTGTTAATCAAAACCATAAACATTAGATTACCAAAAATAGCTTTGTTAACTTTTAGTTTAACTTGCAAGAGTAGTAAACATTTTCCAATTAGCATGAGGGAAAATTTAAAATAGAAAATATATACCTTATATGATACTCAAAATTTGTAATATTTGATCTCATTTTTTCCCATTAATTGTTAAATACAAAGGAACACTACGTAGCAAGAATAGAGCTATTGGTGATGGACCTCTCAATTGTGAAACTCGGTCAAGTGACGAGGACGATACTTGATTTGGTATCCCTCTCTCCAATCTTCCACACGAGAGAACTTTGAGCCTCGATACATTTAACGTATATGATTTTCTATACCTGGTGGCTCATTAGTAGCTCCAGGATTCAAAGCTTAATCTCGACTGAAACAAGGCCAGCAACAGTTTTGCGAACATGAACGCTCATTAACTGCCCCACCTTTTATCTTATATACCTCTTATTTTAGATACAATTCATTTAGTACTGTGCAACGTTGGAAATTAGTACTAGAAGCAAATTAACTTGGAAATTCCATTCAATAAAAAATAAAAAATTTTAAATAATGATAATATTCTTTATTTAAATATTTGCCCGTACTGATTTTTTTTTGTAGTTTACACCAATACATTCTGAGTCATTATCCACTACTAGTAGTCTAGTTGACAGAACTAATAAAACATTTAATAAACTTTTGTTCGCCATTTTTTTAATTAAAAAAAAATATTCGTTATTCGAAAGCAAATATTTGTTCACATGGAAAAGTTTTGTCACTAACAACAATGCGTACTGAGTCATTATATATCCCCTTTTGGGAGCATAATTGACAATATCAATAAAACAACACGTTTTTTCGTCATTTTATACTAAGAAACAGGAAACTTGATTGACACATTGTTTTTGTATGTTGTATTCCAAAACTGGATAACTCAACAAAAATGGGGTTTGAACAAATGAAAAAAGAAAATTTCCCACAATTGCGTGAAATGATTGAATTTTCGATGTTTCACGCATGAAAACATCATAATAAATCCTTTCCTAATAAAAGGCTTATCAAAATAGACGAACCGTATTGTTATCTAATTTTACAAATACTGAGAAGTGTTCAAAATTCTAGAATTTTCATGCTAAATAGAATAAATTTCGTTGTTGTTATTGATTTGGGTTGTTATAATGCCAGGTATTTGATTGAAACCATTGCTAACATTTACCATTTATTGTTATTTTTAAAACACACAACTCTATTTACAATTATACACGGCATGGAATGTTAAGGAATAAAACTACAGACATCTTCACCATATGTTTCTATATTCCAGTCATTTTCTGCTCAAAGGAAACACCAGTTCTATCATCCACAGCAGCGCCCTCTTTTTTTAATCTAAAGAGAGCTACAAGCGAAACCTTTAACCAAGCTTTTATAGTGTTTTAATTTCCAATCAGGTGATCATCGAATTAAAGTGTGAAAAAAAACCCGAATAAATGTTGATAATACATTAAATTTCGCTGTATTATCTACACAAAATATCAGAATGCAAGGATTTTTCCCAGTACAAAGAAGTTTCAAAATTTGCAAGCCGATGTATAAATTCCTTCTTAAGATATTGTAACAGCAAGTGTAAAAAGTGAGTCATCAATATCAATCGGCATTTCCTCCAATGAAAAGCATCCTGTCGTCGTTAGCTTGAAAATGAAACACGTACAAATTATATTCTGAACTTTAGTATTTAGACTTTTGGATTGAAAGAACAGTTACATCCATTGCAACATTTTATGCAAGAGTGTTAGTCTAGAGTCGTCCATAACTCAAGATCTCGTAAATTTATTGAATTTTAATGTAGTTGGTGTGGAACTACTGTTATACTTCTACCTCATGTTAGAGATCAATGAATTCCGTTACGAATGTGAAGGTCGACTTTTTATTCGAAAGTGTCTTGTGAATTTCTGCTTTTGCTTACGTCATGAAGGAAATAAGAAAGAAGCCTTTGTCAAATTTCATTATCGTCATACGTTCGAAATAATCTTAAGGATCTTAAATGAACTAATCTGGACTTTTTTCATGAGCCATTGGCAATAAAACTTTAGAAGTGAATGAATGTACTTTTTACTTTATTGAAGGGAAATGTAATATTAAAAAATCCTTATTGCTTCCTTTGCCAATCTCTTTCTTTCCAAATTCAGATTCACGATGAAAGAATCAAAGAATCGAGTGAGTTAAATTTCACAAATTCAAATGAGTTGAACAAAAATTTTGGAAACTGGAGCAAGTCGGGAAGAGCACGCATCTTTCCAAACGTGCAAATCTGCTGAAAAAAAGTTATGTGAACATCAAAGAAATAAAGCAAGACAAATAAAGATGGTCATTTCGCTTATCACTTGCAGTTTCAGCAAAATAGAGAAATGCTAGAAAATTCAATGAAATTGTTGAGTATAGATTTATTCGTTTGGAAAAAACGGACACAATTATTGTTCGAAATTCACAAATTATGTAAGGATTTCATGAACGAATATTTGTAACAATGTCAGTCAGAGGATACTGCAAATAACAGTATTGAATTTGAAGGAGAACACTTTTGCATCATACACCATTTTGTGCAGAAAGTCTTCATTAGCTACAAAGTTAAAAGTCGTTTTTGACGCTAGTGCTATGTCATCTTCCGGTGTTTTTTTGAGTGACATACATAAGATTGGTTCTAAGGTGTAAGATGACTTGTACTTCATATTGTTGAAATTTTGTTGTCACAATAATTGAATCACCTCACATTTACAAAGGATGTACAAACAAGTAATAATAAATTGAAACAAATAAAATTACCAGTGCATCCTGGAGAGAAATAGCGTGGGAAAACCGCTTGAGTCATACCGCTTAGTTACAGTCCTGTGTGGCACCACGTTGCCAGCTTATTCAGTAACATGAATGTCGCAGCGTTTAGCCTCTGACGAGGTTTTGAGTTTTCAAAAGTAGTTTAAAACGAATTGCAACATTTTTTACTTAAGATTGTGACGGTTCTATCTGCGCTCTTTTAACTAACAGTCCTCTTGTGGAATTTCTGGTCTTTAAAAATCATTTTATTATAAAACTCCTCCTCGAAGAAGAAAACGTGAACATGTAAATTAGGAGAGAGAGAGAGAGAGTCTTGGCTTCAGGTTAGAAGGATAGATGACTAGCGGAGCAGTGATTAATCAAATTGAATGTGAACCGTGGATATTTAATTTTCAATAATTGAATTACTTAAAGTGACGAACTGTCACTGGAGATTGAATCTAGATTAAATAGCAAAGAACTCAGGGCTATTGAATTAAGTAAGTGTATTAAACATTAAAGTCTTCTCGCAACTCGCGTACCTCGTTAATTGATTTGATATTTATTAATTGGGTACATCTTTTATTCTTGATCCATTGAATTTGACTTGTGGTGAATATTGTGAATAAATTGAAGTT